AACTCGATTTTATTGACTTGCTAGGTATAGCTTAATGGCAAGTATAATACGCAGAAAATTTAGCTCAAGCATAACATCTAACAAATAATTGAAATGAATCCACTGACATTATAAACTAGTGAACATCCCGCGGTTACCCTCGGTAGTTATGTTGGGGTAAAGAGTATCGCATATGTATGTATATCGATGTTTTGAATGTATATATCCTGAATCAAGCATGATTTTTATCCTGAAAATTCCTCAGGAACGGAAAAGCTAAATTAACGAGAATGAAACCGTGGGGTATCCACTTGTAAAAAAATACTAATGAGATTTATGTAATTATAATTTTTCACTGACAATAGTGGATCAATTTTACTTGTACCAATTATTAAAAGAGATTTAAGATGCTCATCGGTTAACTTAGATCTATAAACATTCTTTGTGTACTTCCTTTTGGAGAATGAAGCGAGTTTAGCAAGCGTATGCTTGCTTTTAGAGCGTACTCGGCGACTAGTCTAGAAATTATAGATAATGGCAGAAAAATTAAAACAGTTTTGACCATCGGTACTTACTGGAGCACAAAGTATGGCACGAAAGCTCGAAAGTTTGGAGACCGTTGCTTTATAGAAAAGCAAACAAATAGCATAACAAAATTATAATGACATTTATCATTAACATATGTGGTGGTACATAATTAATAAAGTGGTCAATAGACCCATGGTGGGCCAAGGCCGTGTCTCTACAGGCAGATTTCTAGATTTCATTTTTCTTTTACTGGATGGGGTTGTCAGCCCGACGTCCGATGTTAGACCGGGATCTACAGTTTAAAGTGGATTCCGAACCATTACAAACATATATGGCACCGCCGGAACTGGAATCGAAACTTGTAACATCGAACACCAGAGCACTAGTCATTTGACCATCAGATGGTATGGTATTCCAGATGTATATATCACTCTCTATATTGTGAGCATTATTAACATTCTGAAATGCTTCACATTCTATCTCCTCAAAAAAAAGAAATTAAAAGAAATTGTTCAAGATCCGAGGTAAGCCTATTTTGCAGCAACGAAACTTAATTTGATAAATGCATACATCAAAAGAGTGAACAGCTAGAACTGCAATGGCAGATCAAAAAAACCATATATATCTAAAATATACAAAAAACAGGATAGGAAACAAATTACGTAGAAATCGGCAAATCCAAAAGAAATTAATTATAACAGCTTGAGAAAAGTTTCATCAAGGTATACGTATCCTTGGGACGTATAAATCATGTTATTTCTGCTGGCTGGATGAATGGTTCAAGTCAAAAATGCATCTAGTGACATATTTCGATTATATGGAGGAGATACAATTACCTTCCTCTTAGCAACGATGTAGGGCTAAAAGAAAATTATTCTACTGTGTAGCTTGTTTTGTTGTTTTTAATAATGACTGTGACTCTCTATAATATGACCATTAAAGTTGATAATTTAGTAGACAGGCTTCGAACAATAATTACTAAATCTGTAATTTTAAATTTCTGTGATTTATTGCTCACGGCAGTGATATCTAACAGGTGGACTGAACAGTTCGTAGGCTGACACATAGATGGTGCTACTAGTATTAAATCCATATGATTTTTAGTTAACTATAACCTTCAAAAGACACGTGTATAAATTTGACAGCTGTTGCACTATTAGTATGTGAAATTACAGCATTTTTAGTGAAATTATAGCATTTTAATGTTCATCACGTGCAGTCCACACGGCTCACTGTCGATTGGACTCAGTGTGAAATGATGGAGCCATGTCTCATCCATTGTCACATATCGAAGCAAAAATTCGGGTTTATTACAACTGAACAGCTCCAAACATTGCTTAGAATCATCAATTTGTTGTTGTTTTCGTTCGATTGTGAGCTCTGAAAGCTCGGCACCCACTTTGAACAGAGCTTTCGCATATCCAAATATTCATTCATTGATATGTCCAACACGTTCCTTTGATATCTTTAGGTTTTCAGCTATCTCAATCAACTTCACTTTACGGTTATCAGAAATTATTTTGGGAACTTTTTTGATGTTTTCGTCGGTAACAGCCTCTTTGGGGCGTCCACTGCGTGTATCGTCCGCGGTGCTCATTTCGCCTCGTTTAAATTTTGCAAACCACTTCTCTACAGGTTGATTTTCCTGGTGCAAAGTCCGAATAATGTTTATCAAGCCAAGCCTTGGCTTCAATAGTATTTTTTTTTTTTTTTGCCAAAAAAGCAATGCTTTAATTAACACACCAAATTCCTTTTCATGCATTTTCAAACTAACAAAATTTGCTTCACTAAAAATGCTATAACTCATATACTAATAGTGCAACAGCTGTCAAATTTATACATAAATATATATACTAAAAATCATATGAATTTAATACTAGTAGCGCCATCTATGTGTCAGCCTACGAACATGTCAGCTCAACTGTCAGTTCTAGATAATTAGTAGCGTGGAAATATTGAATAATGGCACAGAAATAGATGAGCAGATTTACAGTTTTTAGAAGAAATGTGGAAAAAAATTTCAAAATATAGAATGCTGTAGGAAACTGTATCCTACGCAAAAAAAAGTCTTAACAATAATGAGCTGAATAAGCACAGATAAAGAAAAAAAGGAATGTAGAAATGCCTTGAGGTTCCATTTTTTAAAAGATTTTTCTTTTCTATGTTGTTATTCAAAATTAGTGTTATTACAAATGGAATTAATTATAAGAAATTGATTATTCATGATGTATTTTGTTTATCATATTGGAGTTAAAGGATATAAGTCCAATGAATGGGAAATTAAATTCGTTTCTTTTTGTCAAAAATACTGATTTGTTCAAAGTTATAATTGTTAACATTGATATGAAGGAAATCAGTTAGGTGGTTATTTGGTATTAGTCGTTTTTAATGTCAGCTTTACTGTATGAATGTCGTGAGAAATTTTATGAAAATTTGGAGGGTTAAATCATTTAGGGCATTCACTTGCTTAAAAGCATGTTTGTAAATAAGATGGCAATTTTTTAAGTAGTGTCAATAAATAATGAGTATTTATTAATATTTAATTACTTCAGGAATTCTTTGAATTTGGAAGTAAGGTTCCTTATATATATGAATATTATTTGTATGAATATTTTTTTTGCATCATTTAATTAAAAGTTTTCATCAATTGTATTAAATTATACATGCTTCAACAAATTGAAGTCATACTAAGGCATTTATACATTTACTGAAAAGTAGTAAAGCAAATAAAGCAAAGTAATTCATACAGAAAATTTCAGCTCAAGGTTTAAAAACTTCTAAGAGAGATAAGATACATGTAAACGACTTATAATCACACAGTCACTTTGATACTCTTCGAGTCCTCCGGTGGAATGCCGGTGGACTGTCTCAAACGAAGCGCGCAGAGCTTTTGCTGACTCTGTGTGAGAAGGATATTGATGTCTTTACTATTATGGAGGCTAATTTGGCAACCGACTGCCTGCGAAACCATCTTTACAGACTCAAAATTGTTCCTTCCCCGATATGCACCTCTGAGAGGCCATGGACTCTACGCATCTACTTCACTGTCCTGCTCTGAGCAAGACTTTTCTCGCCGAGCAATATTGGGAGGCTAGAGATATGTTAGATTAATGAACTCTGTTTCAGCATGCTTTGTTGTATTCTCTGTTCTTTTTTATTTTTCGTTGTCCTTTTTATTGCTGTAACTGTTCATAATCTGCCATTGGAAATGAAAAAAATCGCACCGTAATACACAATCATAAATGCTGTCCTTCGCTGCAGGGTACTCAGTAAACACTAGAAATGAAAGGTCACCATATAGATGAATATGCTGATTATGAATGAATGTATGACATCAAAAGTAACATGGTCCGACAGTAGCAAAGGATGCATGTTGATTGTTAACAAAATCCATACAGTCGCTGTAGCGGGACATCTGGTATGCTTCTCTGTAGATCATGTACCCGTGCAATTTGGATTGTCCTGCTTCAGACCTAGCATAATCTCCTCTATGTCCAGCGGCTTGAGGGCCATTTGACTAGCGCTGTAGCTTTTGGTACCACAGGCTTCAGGTTCGAATCCTGACGGTGGCATGGATGTTTTGTTAGCTGTTCGGAATCCAGTCCAGAATTTTTAGCCATAGGTCTCGGTCTCATATGACCATGGACAGTCGCAGAGCCTAGTCATACTTCTCACCCACATCATTTCCAAACTGTATATGAGCAACTCAGGCCTGGGCACATGATATGGTGTGGTGTAGTAGTGATCTAATTAACCTAAAGTATGCACAAAATGACCGTAGAGCTACAAACAAAACCACATCTCCACGTCCGGGGTATCTACCTTTCTTTCATGACTTGTGACGGCTGTCTGGAAATACCCCTAATAAATAACCACAGGTAAAAGTGCCAAAGAGGCTTTGGTTAATAGTATATCTCATCGGATATCGTTGTATATACAAGATCTGTGTGGCTACATATTGTTCACATTACAGTCTTTTAAGCCAGGTGCCTAACCACTAATTCTGAGTTTCTATGATAAGCCATTCAACTATCGCTGTGTCAGTGTGCAAAATGAGAAGTCTTTGGAAGAAAGCTTGAAACTCATTGCTGTGTGACTTGTCTGGATGTACTTTATCTCTCCCAGAAATTTATAAACCTGGTGCTGAGACTGCATTAAATTATACTTAATTTTTAAATTTAAACGTGTTTTTTTTTTCCTTCTAATGCAGCTGGCAAATAGACCGTGATCTTTCGCCATAAGGACTGCACCGATGTTACTCACTTTGCATTACCCAGGGGGACACGTGTAACTTGAAGGCAAGCCACGGACGCGGAGTAACAATGCCCCCCGCAACTCTCTACGATCCTATTAGGACCGGGACCTACGGCTTAAAGTGGATTCCGAACCACTACAACACCCATGGGCAAAGCCGGGATTTGAACCCGATACCTTGGTACCGAACGCCAGTGCGCTGGCCACTCGGCCATCAGGCCCCAAAAATTTTGAATGCCAACGGTACGCGGTGCTCCCAGGTGGTCACCCTCCTAAGTTTTGACCGTGCCCTAAGATGCTTGACTTCGGTGATCGAACGAGAAACGATATATTCAGCATGGTATGGCCGTTGGCCACGACGAAACGTCCCCGACGTAACTTATACGTAAAACCGGTAACCGACGTAAACTGGTCATTTTTAAACGTAAAACCGGTAACCGACGTAAACTGGTCACCGACGTAATTTAAACGTAAAACTGGTTTTTCCTTCGTGATACCGTCTTGTCAATGAAAGTACATTACAAAGTTTCCGACATTTTTGCAATACATAAGACACAATGTTTGCAATAACGTACACTACATTGTCATCTTATGTGCTTATATCGAATAAGATTAAGTTAATCAGTGTTTTTCCTATATAGAGTAAAGAATACATATTAAAATTTTTTTATAAAAATTAAAAAAAAATAAATAAATAAAAGCTTTTTTATAAATAACTTAGTTGTATTTATATATATTGAAAATTGTAAACCAAGTTAAACTATTATAAAAATTAAATAAAAATATTTCATAATAATAATTAATTTTCTAGTCAATATAATGGCAATAATAATAATAATAATAATAATTAATTTTTAGTCAATATAATGACAATAATAATAATAATAATTAATTTTCTAGTCAATATAATGACAATAATAATAATAATAATAATAATGATTAATTTGCTAGTCAATATAATAACAATAATAATAATAAATATACGGTTTGATTACTATTATATGATAACTATAAAAACAATACTACTTTTTGATTTAGAAGTCCAAAACAATTTTCTTAATATTTCATGTTAAAATATTGCTTTAAAAAAATTAATTACAGAAATTACTCCTGCTTTAAAGATGTAATTTGAATTATGTATATATATATATATATAACCTCACCACTAAGTTTTATTATGTAACCTTATAATTTACCTTTCAGAATTTACTGAAATGATAAGTGGACAAAAAAATAATGCACTGCATAAAATTTCCATTTTACTACTTTACGTTATGACTTTTATTATATAACTTGCAACAAATTAAATCAACATATGTATCTTATACATGAGGGTTTGCAAAATATCACTTATTTTCTACAAGCAAAAATATAAAATGAAGAATTTTTTTTTCTTACATTTATAAATAGTGGTGGAAAATTCCCTTTTTTAAAACTAAATGATGCAATGGGGAATTATAAACCGCAAAAGAAAATAATGTTTTCTTTGGTAATGTACTTTCCTCCATCCATAATTATTCCCCCAAACAGATTTAACAATTCAATCCCTCCCCCTAAACTACATGGGTGGGCGGATGATAAAAAAAAAAAAATCCTTTGATTTACACTACAATAGACAACTAAACACTACAGCAACTACACTCGCCCATTATGTTGACGCTCTAAGCAGGGTAATGCATCAAGTCCGATAAAAGGCTGTTTATCGGGCCAGCGGGGAACAGGATCAGCTATCTACTCCACTAGAAATCATATTCTCTGGAAGTAAGGGAAAGGGGGCTAAAAGTCAACCTTGGGGATAGATCCGGAAAAAAGGGAGGACATCAAAAAACAACAGCAGCAACAAAATGTTACAAAATCACTGTAACCGTCATGTGAAGGAGCTATAAATTGGAGTCCAGGGATAGCTACTTAGGACATACGCGTGGCGTTGCTATGGGGGTGGGGAGGTACAGAGTATACAGAAGCCTCCAACAACGTGAACTTCATTTTGACACGTGTTACTTAAGGCTTCTGATAAATGAGGTGAACATAAACGCATCGGTTTTACATGGTTCGAGGCTATATGAAAGCCATTTTTGTAAAAAAAAAAAAATAATAATAATAAAAAATGAGCAACATGGGAGGTTTCTAGTAAGTTGCATTGTGCTTTTTTGTGTGTGTGTGTGTATGAGTGCAATAGTTATTTTTCACTTTTTTTTTTTTGTTGTTGTTGATGGTGGTAATTATCAAAAAAAATAATAATAAATAAATAAAATGGTTTTGGGAAAGTAAAAGAGCGTTTCTCTATCTTCAAGAGGAAAGCTCGCAGAAATTATTTATTCGTTTCTCTCTTAACGAGCTTTATGATGTAAAACTTAATAAGCATAAATATTTTGGATGAGAGAGAGTGGGAATGAAAAATGTGTGGAAGAAGTGGTCTAAAAAAGAAAAAAATGTGAAAACGTGGGAGTTTCTCGAGTTTTGCTGATGTTGATTTACGACAGACATTAATAAGAAAAGAAAAGAAAAAAAAAATGCTGCAAAAAGACGAGAAAAAAAAAAAGTCTGTTAAAGGAGATTGTTAAATTAACTGTAAATAAGAAATTTTTTTGGGTAACGTACATAACACATTGTAACAGAATAATATCTTTTATAAACATAGAAAGTTTCTGTTGGTATATTTTGAGACAACAGTGCGTAAAATACAATCAAATTAGAAAGATTTGGTTTATATGTTCATGAATAATTTTTTTGAAGACAGACAAACATGCCTTTATTTAAATTTGTAACATTATAATTGATGTGAAAGTGAAAAATATTTATAAAATTAAACTGAGCATCAGCTATATTAATATTTAATTCTGTAATTTATCTGTTTTTTAGAGACTTATATTTAAGAACCAAAATCTTTGATAAATTTGTGTTATATATATATATATATATATATATATATATACACTCAAGAGCAAAACATTATGACCACCCCTACATTTTGCAATGAACTCGCCTGGATAACGTGGAAGGCACGTGATCAGGTGGAAGTGGTATTTGCGCTCCAAAGGTGGGCCAACTCGTTATTGACAGGTGGTCATAATGTTTTGGCTCTTGAAGTATATATATATATATATATATATATATATATATATATCAAAAATTAATGATCACTCAATAAAATTTGTTATGTAACAATATTTCAAAAATTTCAAGAAACAACAATAGTTTGTTGTTGTATAAATTTTAGTACCTCCACACATATGGATAATCCAATAGAGATATTTTTAGATTGGATGTTGATTTACGACATACATTAATAAGAAAAGAAAAAATGCTGCAAAAGACGAGAAAAAAGTATGTTAAAGGATATTGTTAAATTAATTGTAAATAAGAAAATTTTTTTTGTTACAACGTACGTAAATATAACACATTGTAACAGAACAATCTCGTTTATCAACATATAGAAAGTCTCTGCTGGTATATTTTGAGAATACATAAATACAATCAAAATCAAAGATTTATTTATATGTATATGAATAATTTTTTGGTGGCAGACGAATAGGCATTTATTTAAATTTGTAACACCATAATTGATGTGAAAGTGAAAAAAATTTATAAAAATATACTGAGTTTATCAGCTTTTATTAATATTTATTTTTGTTATTTATCTGTTTTTTAGAAACCTATTTTGAAAGAATAAAAAATTTTGAATTAATTTTGCTATAAGGAACATGCTTGAGAATATATTTTTTCTTTTTCTAGGAATGCCTTTAATAATATTAAAAAATTTCAAGTAAATTAAGATTTGTGTTATATATACTTTTTAATAATATTAAAGGCATTCCCTAAAGGCAGGAATAAAAAAAAGGCTGCTGAAGAAGATTGTTAAATTAATTGCAAATAAGAAAATGTTTCTTTGCACAACTTACATAAGTATAACACATTGTAACAGAGCATTCGTTTTTATTAACATAGACAGTTTCTGTTGGTATATTTTGAGAATACAAAATAAGGCAGGCATAAACATATTACACAGGTGGGCTGAAAAAATCATAGGCTGACACATAGATGGCACTACTAGTATTAAATCTATATAAGTTCTAGTTAGTCCTAACCTTCAAAATATACGTGTATAAATTTGATAGCTTTTGCACTATTAGTATGTGAGTTATAAAATTTTTAGTGAAGCAACTTTTGTTCGTTTGAAAAAATGGATAAAAGGAATTTCGTGTGTTAATAAAGCATTGCTTTTTGGCGAAAAAAATACTATTGAAGCCAAGGCTTGGCTTGATAAAACATTATTCGGACTTTTCACCAGGAAAATCAACCGTAGAGAAGTGATTTGCAAAATTTAAAACGAGGCGAAATGAGCACCGAGGACGATGCACGCAGTGGACGCCCCAAAGAGGCTGTTACCGACGAAAACATCAAAAAAAGTCCACAGAATAATTTCTGATAACCGTAAAGTGAAGCTGATTAAGATAGCTGAGACCCTAAAGATATCAAAGGAACGTGTTGGACATATCGTGAATGAATATTTGGATATGCAAAAGCTCTGTTCAAAGTGGGTGCCGCGCAATTGACACAATCGACCGAAAACAACAACGAATTGATGATTCTAAGCAGTGTTTGGAGCTGTTCAATCGTAATAAACCCAAATTTTTGCGTCGATATGTCACAATGGATGAAACATGGCTCCATCATTTCACACCGGAGTCAATCGACCGTCAGCCGATTGGACTGCACGTGATGGACACTAAAAATGCTATAACTTCACTAAAAATGCTATAACTTCACTAAAAATGCTACAACTCACATACTAATTGTGCAAAAGCTGTCAAATTTATACACGTGTCTTTTGAAGGTTAGGGCTAACTAAAAATCATATGGATTTAATACTAGTAGAGCCATCTATGTGTCAGTCTACGGACTTTTCAGTCCACCTGTTATATATATATAATAATAAAATTACTACTCACTCCATTAAGATTTCTTATGTAATCTGTGTTTATAGCCTGATACCTCTACATATATGGATAAACCAATATAGATATTTTTTTAATCTTCTCAAAATCATTTAAGTCATTATGACATTCTATACATCGGGATTATCAATTTTAATAAACCTGTTGAAATTTTTTTTTTTAATAAATCTTCAAATAATATTCATTTTATAAATACACTTGATTTTAAGGATATCTTAAACTCGCTTTATCACGATTACCAAAATATTCTTAAGGTTATCTTTGTTTACTACCTGGATGGAACTATCGAATCTGTGCATTTTTAATTATTATGTTTAAAATAAAATGATACAAAAAAAGTTGTCTGCTGTCAGCAGAACTAAAAAATTTATTGATTGATTATCAAATTTCAT